TTCCCACCTCCACCGCCACCAGCGCATCCACACAGGGGAGCGACCCTACAAGTGCAGTGAGTGTGGGAAGAGCTTCACAAGTAATTCTGACCTCACCCACCACCAGCGCATCCACACAGGAGAGCGACCCTACAAGTGCACCGAGTGTGGGAAGGGCTTCAAAAGCAATTCTGAACTTGTCCACCACCAGCGCACCCACACAGGAGAGAGACCCTACAAGTGCCCCAAGTGCGGGAAGGGCTTCAAAAGCAATCCTGACCTCAACCGCCACCAGCTTGTCCACACAGGAGAGAGACCCTACAAGTGCCCTGAGTGTGAGAAGAGCTTCAGAAGCGTTTCTGACCTCATTGTCCACCAGATCATCCACACAGAAGACACACCATACAGCTGTCCTCAATGCCCACAGAGTTTTAAAAGCAATTCTGACCTCACCCACCACCAGCGCATCCACAGAGGAGAGAGACCCTACGAGTGCAATGAGTGTGGGAAGACCTTCAAAAGAAATTCCCATCTCACCTACCACCAGCGCACCCACACAGGAGAGAGACCCTACAAGTGCCCTGAGTGTGGGAAGGGCTTCACAAGCAGTTCTGACCTCATTGTCCATGAGCGCATCCACACAGGAGAGAGACCATTTAAGTGTCCGTGTGGGAAGAGCTTCAAAAGAAGTTCTGACCTCATTTACCACCAGCATATCCACACAGGAGAGACACCCTACAAGTGCCCTGAGTGTGGGAAGGGCTTTAGAAGAAGTTCTAACCTCAGCTCCCACAAACGCATCCACAGGGTAGCAGCATCCAAGCGTAGCAGCGCCCTGAGTTTGTGAGAACCTCCAGAAGCAGTTCCTGCCTCCTGCCCTACCACACATCCCCCCAGGAGACAGAGCCTGCAGTGCCCAGTGTGCAAAGAGCTTCATCCAGAGCCCAAGCTTCATTGCTATCCCAAGAAAATCTCTCGCTGTGCCCAGTTTTCTCTTCTGCTTGTCCTGCAAGCAGCTTTTTGAAGCCGTTCCCTAAGGAAAAGCGGCTGTGCAGGCATGTGCTGTGTGCCTGTGTGCCATGTGTTCCTCTCAGTCATTTCTGAGTCCACTGATGAGTCAGGTAAAAGGGGCAAGAGAAAAATAATGCTACTCTTGGAGTCTTACTGAAAATCACATGCAGGTGAATGGGGAGGGGGAGAATAAAGTAGCTAAGTTGTCCCAGAGCTTTTGTTTTCATGGAGGTCTCACCCTATTTTCTTAAAATCAAAGATAATGGGTGAATGCAGGACAGGGAAAAGATAATGGGGGGTTTGTTACTCATGCTGACTCCAGCTCTTTCTTCTTCTGGATGAAGGCACGTTTCATACACAGTCCCATCACCCCTCCTAACTGTGCTACACATTGGCTGTACGTCTCTTCCTGAATGCTTTGATCAGGAGCTCAGAACAGCTGTCAGACACCAAGTGTGGGTGGGCTCCAATAAACCGATGAAAGCTTAGCTTGTTCTTCCGAAATGCAGCGTCTCAGGACTCAGCAGGTGCTGTGAGCAGAAGGCAGTGCAAAGCCACACAGAACAC